TCTATGAGCTAAAACAACAAAAATCAGACTCCATGTGTTTTTTTAATGTAGTTTTTGTTTGGGTTTTCTTTTTCCTAAGAGAAAAACATGAAGGTAGTTGGGCAGGGAAGTAGTGGAGAATCTGGGAAGAGATGGTAAAAGGAAAGACTATGATCAAAATGTATGAAATTTTCAAAAAATAATTTTTAGAGAACAGCAAAAAAAGAATACATACTAAGTGAAATTAGTCAGATATACATATTCCACTTATCTAAAATATTCAAACTAGGGAAATTTCAGAGACAACAGGCCAATTAATGATTTCTAAGAATGGGGGAGGGGGATGAGGAGACTACTTAATGGGAACCAAGTTTCCTTTTGAGAACTTGAAAATATTCCGGAATCAGATGACATTAATTGTTGGATAACATGATGACTACACTAAATGCCACTGAATTGTATGTTTTAGAATGGTTAATTTTGTAGCCGGGCGGTGGTGGCGCACACCTTTAATCCCAGCACTAGGGAGGCAGAGGCAGGCGGATCTCTGTGAGTTCGAGGCCTGGCTGGACCAACAGCCTCCAAAACAATACAGAGAAACCTGTCTCATAAAAAAAGGGGGGGGGGGGCGGAGATTAGACAGATTGGTCTAATTTATGCATTAACTAGGAAAAACCCTATACAATTAACCAATCAGTCCAAATTATTAGTGTTCACAGAACACTTTTTTCCTTCTTCAAGTACTTCATGACTTTTGTTGTTTCCTAGAGATTTTCAAAAAATAAGGGGAAATTTGCTGACTAGTTTAAAATAAAATTTATTACATTTGTTTGTGTGTATGCACATGCATAACACACATGTGGGGGTCAGTTCTCTCCTCCCTCCATGTTGGTCCAGGGAATAAAATTCACATTAACAGGCCTGGCAGCAAACACTTGAACCCACTGAGCCATCACACCAGCCCTTACTGCTTTTAAACAGAATCAAACTCATTCTATCTTACATGGTTCTACAAAAGTATCCTTTTACATAACTGAAATACACTGTGGGACCTTAGGGATTTGTGTTTTTCCTACATCTTGAAATCTTGTGCTACTTCCACCATTCTAGGTTACTACTGCTCAATCTTAACTATGGTAAAAACAAAGAAAATGAAAATTGAATGATGATTCAACTGCCTAGAAAAAGGATAAAGAGTAAAATAAATCTGACTAATGCAAGATCTTTCACTTTTCAGTATCCTTATGGGTTTTCACCAAATGTCACATCAATTTTCAACAGGTAAGACTGACATCATCCTTATATAGTCTGTGTCAGGGAATACAAACTTCTACTCATACACAGATTCATTACCTAGAGGCTTGTGAGTTAATTAAAGTTAGGAAAAGAAAAGGTACACAAACTTCCTATTCTCGGGCTCATAGAAGACTAAAACTCACAAAAATGGCTAGATTTCAAGATTTATGTATCATTTTATCAAAAAAGAGTTTAGGATCTGAGCAAGAATAAATCACTGGAAAGCTGGATATGGTGCCATATGCCTCAAATTTCAAAACTCAGGAAGCAAGGTCATCTTTGGCCATAATATCAGTACCAGGCCATGATGTGGGACACCCTTCTGTACACTGCCAATACGTGTTGTTTTTATTGGCTGATGAATAAAACTGCTTTGGCCTATGGCAGGGCAGAATATAGGAGGGGAATCTAAGAGATATAACAGGGAAAAAGCTACCCGAGGAGCAATATGCCAGAGCACCACTGGTAAGCAATTCAGATAAATAGAAAAGAGTTAACTCAGCCCGGCGTTGGTGGCGCACGCCTTTAATCCCAGCACTCGGGAGGCAGAGGCAGGCGGATCTCTGTGAGTTCGAGGCCAGCCTGGACTACCAAGCGAGTTCCAGGACAGCCTCCAAAGCCACAGAGAAACCCTGTCTCAAAAAACCAAAAAAAAAAAAAAAAAAACCAAACAAACAAAGAAAAGAGTTAACTCGTATGTAAGAGCTAGCTGGTAATAAGCCTGAGGCATCGGCCAAAGTATTATAGTTGATATTGACCCTGAGTGATTATTTTATAAGCAGCTTGCAGGACCAGGCAACACATAAAAGCCTCTGGCTACAAGGCCAGCCTGAGCTACATAAGATTCTGTCAAACAAAACAAAACAAAAAACTAAAAATAAAAGACCTATTTTTTAACAAGGTATGTTGATGCAAATTAACCTCTTTCAGATATGAGAGAAATTCAAGTCTTGTCCTTAGGCAAACACAGCAAAATTCTTCCTGCTATCTGTTGATTCTCAGTTGTCCTTAACTCAAAATACCCTTTACATCAACATGACATACTTTATGATGTGTACTTTGGATTGATATGCACTGATCTTCATCTGCTTTTAGTTCTCACTGAATGTGGTTAAAATTTCACATTTTTTTACTACTCTTTGCCTAACAGAAAAGAAAGTTGACTAGTCACAATTAGATAAACCAGAAGATGAATGAACATAGCAGCAAGACAGATGTGACAGTGTAAGTGTACTTTATAAAGGAAATCTTGGAGGCTTCATACCAGGTATCCAGATAAACTTTCTCAAACTCTAACATCAATGAATAAGTAATATTTTAAGAGAGGGAGACTATGCCAGGTGGTGGTGGTGAAAACCTTTAATCCCAGCACTTGGGAGTCAGAGGCAGGTGGTTCTGTGTGAGTTCCAGGCCAGCCTGGTCTACCAAAAAAACCAAAAAATAATATATATATATATATAGTTATAAACTTTCTATTGAATAAATATAACAGGCATGCATGCTATTTACTCTTTTACTCTTCTCTACTAAAAAAGGTAATGTTGAGAAAAGAAAAACACTTGCCTGAAGGAGTGCATACTACACTTAAACTAGAGAGAAATGAGACACTAAGATTTATGGTTCTCCCACAGCAAGCTATCTTAGATTTTTTTTTTTAAATTAGCAACAAGCTTGCTTCAACTGTCAATCCCAGCTCCAGCTCCCTCTCCCTCCCCTCACCCCCACTCCCTCCAAGCCCCCACACTCAATCCCCACTCCATTCCCCAAGTAGGGTGAGACCCTCCATGAGGATATCCAGAGTCTGTCATTCGTTCAGGGCAGGGCCTAGGCCCTTCCCAAAGAGTCCAGGCTGAGAGAGCATCCCTCACTGTGGGAGGGGCACTCAAAGTCCATTTGTATGCCAGGGATAAATACTGATCTACTTCCCAGGGTCCCATAGATTGTCCAGGCCTCCTCACTGACAGCTACGTTCAGGGGGTCTGGATCAGTCCCATGCTGGCCTCCCAGTCATCAGTCGGGGGGTCCAAGAGTTCCCCCTTGTTCAGGTCAGCAGTTTCTGTGGCTTTCACCAACCCTGTCTTGACCCCTTTGCTCATCATTCCTCCCTCTCTGTCACTGGGTTCCAGGAGTTCAGTTCAATGTTTAGCTGTGGGTGTCTGCAGTCACTGGATGAAGGTTCTGAAGTCGGGCTGATGTGGGTAGAGCCAAGGGTTGGGTCTGGCAGGACTCATGTCTTACTTGACTCGATACCTTAGATTTTCACGGCTCACTACTGCTACAAACTCGAAACTTTCAAAGGGAAATGTTTTCCACTGTTCTCTCCTTACCTCTTACAGGGTAGAAACATTCCAAGGGTTTTGTTTGTTTGAGAAAAGGACTACACCACCCTGCTTGCTGGTCTAGTTCCCATAGGAAGATCCACTTCCCTCTGCCTCCCAGAGTGCTAGGATAGCATACCCCACCACATCTGGGCAATTCCAAGTTTCTTAAACATTCTACTCTCCAAAACTGTTCCTCTTCTTCCTACTTCTATTTATTCCTAAAGAACTTGTCCCTCTATTTAATCAGACAGATACAGGTAAATTCATACTAAGCACTAAAACCACACCACAGATTGCATGCTAATTACAAACAGAAAAGTCAACATTTTAACTAAGAGAGCAAAGCTAGGATTACTAAGTCTCCCCACATTTTAAGATATGAAGTATTCTACATGATTTATGAAATAGTATAAAAATATGTACCACACAAATTTACCAAATTTTAGCAAACATCCTTATCTTTCTTATTCATGGTACTGTGTTATAGTATACAGGAAAATGGCCTTCATCTTTATTATGTACATATCCAGTACTTAAAGGTGAACTGTCACATCTGCAACAAACAATATGTTCAGTAGATCGAGACAAAGCAAATGTGGCAAGATACTGACAAATATTCACACTAGGTAGTGGGCATCTAAATTTGCTATATTCAAATTTCCAATATGTTTAATAAAAAACATGATCACTGATAACATCCAAAGACAATATATGGCCTCAAAAATCAAAATGTAAAAGAATGGTAAGTCGAAGAGAATTTCTTAAATATGGAGGCCTATGCCTCCTTGCCTATTCTCACCCATCTCATTGTCACGAAGACAGGACATACAACAGAGGGGTGAGCACTGAATAAGCAGTCATTAAACTCATGGTTCTGTAATTGGCCCTGGTAGTCAAGCGTTCTCATTGAAGTCATCTCTGAGGCTGACCTTCAAAAAATTCTCCCTTTGGAAAGGGGCCCAAAGGAATACATTAAGTGACATCAATGACAGATACAAATGCAAGAAAAAATTACAATGGTGTTGTGTGTATTGGACAATCAAACGTACAAGGTCCTCAAATCTCACCATCCTATTCTTTCCATCCATCCAGACAGCCTGAGTTGGTACAGTCATCTCTCAAAGGCCAACCTTACAAATGGCAAAAGAAGGCTTTTATACTTTCTACTTCCCTCGTGTGATTTTATGCTTAAGGGCACTAAAAGGCATCCAATTATTTAGATTGACTCAGTCCAAACTTGGAAACAATAAATCCAAATGTTTAAGTATGGCAGACTTAATAGAAAAACCGATCTTCGCAAAGCCAAAGGTCTCCACGCTCGCAGCAGGTTAACGTCCATTTTTTTTTTCCTCTCTAGAATATCTCCTAATGCTTTACAACTGCAGGTGAGTCGTGAAAACACCATCTCTTGAGCAGCCTAAAACCTCAAAACGCGATCACTCGTTTGTGGTTTAGTAAGTGAAACCTGCAAAGCCCGGCTGGAAAAATCTGTCGGGCTCGCTGCTCCTCAAAGCCCTTCTCGTGTAGACAATAACGGGACTTGTGTGACAGAGTGGGGACATCCCTTTGACAAGAAAGAAGGATGTGAGCCTGGAAAGGAGCGGCCGTCTAGCAAAGGCAGGGCCTCTGTGGCTGTTCCTGCGGACGCCATTGGGGTTCAGCTCTTGCGTGAAGACTCGAGTGGGTTGCGTTGTGAGGAGCTCGGGTCTCCGCCACACGCCCGCGGACAAGGTACAAAGGACCGAGGGGAGACGTCTCCGGAGAGCAATGCCCGGCTGAGGAGAGAGCGACGCGCGGGCCTGCGCTGCGGTGAGGCGGCGAGCCGAGGCGAAGGCCGGGCGGCCTGTACTGTGGGCCGCCGCTCAGCCGTCCGCCTCGCCTCGTCGCACCGGGATCCCTCCCGAGCCAGGCCCGGCAAGATGGCGGGCCAGCCCCACGCGCAGCCGGCCCCTGCCCGGCCGGGCCCGGGTGCTCCCGCCGACGCGCTGCGGCCCGAGACCCCCACCCGGCGCCCCCGGAGTGCGGCGGCGCGGCCGCGCGGGAGGGCCTTCGCGGGCGGGCGGGCGGGCGGGCGGGCGAGCGGGCGGCCGCGCGGGGCGGGGGGCGCTTACCGTGAGCGGAGCGGCTCGGCCTGACTGGAGCCCTGAGGAGGAGGAGAAAGAGGAGGAGGCGAGGGAGGAGCGCGGGCTGTGCGCCGCGACCGCGGCGGCTCCCATCGCGGAGCGGCTGCCGAGCGCCGCGATGGGGGAGGGGGCGTCGCGAGCCGCGGCGCGCTGCCTCATGGGTAGGCTCTGAGCCGGCCTCACGCGTCCGCGCTCCCCGTCTTCCCGCCAACGCGGGAGGCGAGCGCGGCCATGTGCGCCGTGTCGCGGGCCCTCGAAGGCCGCGGGGCCGGTCGTGCCCCGGAAGCCAGAGAGGCCACTCGGGGACCGGCTGAGGTAGGCCGTGGTGCTCTTCGGCCACCCCAGGCCTGGAACCTGTGGGCACAAAGCCGGGAGTTCCGGACTCCCGTGTGCGAGGGTTACGGGACACGAAGAGTGAACCTGAGAGGAAAAGGAATTCAGCTTCTATGATGTTGTCAATATTTTTTTAACGTACGCTTTTGTTAGGGTCTCTTTTTCATCCCTGTCGTAGGAACAGTAGTAGCCTGTAATTGGAAAAAGGGAAAACCATGGCCAGTGCGTTTATAAAAACACTTTGCAGGTCAGATCTGTAAAGAAACTTGGCCCTGTCCTGTGTCAGAAACGTAGATGAACGTTTGTGTGTCCACGATGTCATTTTTTTAAAACAACGATAAATTGTTGAGGGGTTAAGATCCTTGTTGCTCTCCCAGAGGGCCCAGGTTCGGTGTCAACACTCCTTAGCTCCAGCTCCAGAAGATCGGACGCCCTCTTGTTTCGGGAGGCACCAGGCACTAAAGTGGCACACAGACCATTAGGCAGGGAAAACACAAACGCACATAAAATAAATTTAAACAACCTGTATATCCGTAGATAGAGGTCTGTGGCAATCACAACTAATTTTAATTCCAGTCTTAATTACTAAAAATACATTTAACACGTAGAGAATAGCTACAAAAGGTTTTAAGAGACACAGCAGATTTCAAAGGGGACAAAAGCAGAAAGCTGATATCTATGCAAAGTAAGTCACTGCAGGTGTTAGGAAAGGTATCTAGGAACCCAGCAGGAGAACCACAGAGCCCGGGCATGGAAGCCAGCAAGGAGCAAGACCCATCAGAAAGACAGAAAGATGACACTTAAAGAGGGCTCAGCAGTGTGAATAATTAGGAGTTGTCCACTGTGAAAAGGACAGCTGGGCAATGCAGTCACCATCTCAGTTGCCTGTACTAATCAGGGTTCTCTACAGTAACCAAACTTCTAGAATGAATCTCTCTATGTATATAGAAAGGGGTTTATTAGAATGACTTTTTAAAGATTTAATTATTTATTATGTGTACAGTGTTCTGTTTGCATGTATCCCTGTATGCCAGAAGAGGGCACCAGATCTCATTACAGATGGTAGTGAACCACCATGTGGTTTTTGGGAATTAAACTCAGGAACACTGGAAGACCAGCCAGGTGCTCTTAACCTCAGCCATCTCTCCAGTCCAACTAATCCAACAACCGGCCATGAACTTTAGAAAGCCCAAGAACCCAGTAGTTGCTCAGTTCAAACTGGATGTCTCAGAGATCTTTAGTATATACCCTGGAATTGCCAAGAAGTAGGCTGTCATGCCTGTGAAGGAAGCTCTCTTTTCTTCCATGTTCGTATATCGGCTTCCAGCAGAAGGTGTGGCCAGGGTAGAGGTGGGGTTCTCAGCTCAAATGATCTGTATTGAAGATGTGGATCTTCCTACACCAAATTAAGCAAAAGTTCCCCATAGGTGCCCTAGTGGGACCGAGAATCTGTGGAGGGTGTTGGGGTTGATGACACAGAGACCAGTCGGTGAAAGAAGGCTTCTTACCCTGACTGGTTATATGCACTGATACCGGGGGTCAGAAAGAGGCAGTTAGTCATTGGAAAGGTCAGGGTCAGGGTGTTTCCATTGGTGAGTCCTTATCAGAAACTTATTGCTCCGGTAAACATGTTTTTCTTTGTGATTACGGGCACCAGATTATTTTTAGTAGACATGTTTTTAGTAAACATGTTTTCTCTATGCTCCCAGGCTGATGGAGAAGTGGTCCTCCGGCCAAGATCTCTTGTTCCCACATCTGCCTCCCCAGTGCTGGGATTAAAGGCGTGCACCATAGAGGAAGAACTGTAGCAAGGACAAGGTGTATGCATAATTGAGCAGTCCTAGATATGGTCTTACTGTTCTTTGTTTCCATCTAGCTCAATGGTTCTCAACCTTCCTAATGCTGTGACCCTTTAATATATTTCCTCACTTTGTCATGACCCCTGTATTAGTCAGGGTTCTCTAGAGTTGCAGAATTTACAGAATGAATATACATTATGTATACACACACACACACACACACACACACACACACACACACACACGGATTTGTTGGAATGACTTACAGGCTGCGGTCCAACAATGGCTAGCTGTGAACAGAAAGTCCAAGAACCTGGTAGTTGCTTAGTCCAGATGTCTCAGCTGGTCTTCTGTATATGCTGGAATCCCAAAGAATTAGGCTCCAACACCAATGAAGGAATGGATGTGCTGACAAAGTAAGGGCAAGCAGGCAAAGGACCAACAACTCCTTCCTTCTTCCATCCACCTTATATAGGCTTCCAGCAGAAGGTGTGGCTCAAGTTAAAGGTGTGCCTTCCTGCCTCAAGATCTGGATTAAAGGGATGTGTCATCCCTCAAGATCCCTATCAAAAGCTTGTATCTTTCAGCCTCAACATCTAGATTGAAGGCTTGTTGACTTCTGGACACAAGATCCAGATCACATGTCTGGGCATTGGTGTTTAATTCCAGCACTGGGGAGGCAGAGGCCAGTCTGGTCTATCGAGTGAGTTCCAGGATAGGCTCCAAAACAATACAGAGAAACCCTGTCTCAAAAAAACAAAAAAGAAGAAAGAAAAGATGTGTCCTCCATTTCTTTATTGAAGTTCATTCCAGATTTAGTCAAGTTTACAACAAAGAATAGCTGTCACAACCCCAAACCATAAAATTATTTCATTGTGAGCTGGAGAGATGGCTCATTAGTTAAGAACACCGGCTGTTCCTCCAAAGGAACCAGGTTCAATTCCCAGTACCAACATGAACCCCTCACAATTGTCTGTAACTCAAGTTCCAGTAGATCCAACATTTTCATACAGACATCCATGCAGGCAAAACATCAATTCATATAAATAAAAAAATTTCATTGCTACTACATAACTGTAATTTTGTGAATATTGTGAATCTTACTGTAAATATCTGCTATGCAAGATATCCTTTTGGTGTCTAAGTCCACAGGTTGAGAAACATTTGTCTAGTTCCTGCAAGGTGGTCTGAGGAAGCTCTTACTGCTTGCAAGAGAAAGCTGATTTTTCAGGGTGCTACTTCACCCTCTAGTGTGCAGGTCCTCGACTACAGAGGGTCCATCCAGTGAGGCTTTGATCTCCCTGATATTCAACAATAATGACTTACTTTTCTGCCTTAAACCTTAAGGAGAGTAAGAAACATTAAACAGTAGTTCTGGCTTGTTTGGTTTTTTGTTTGTTTTCTGTCTCTGTTAAACATAAAACTTTTCAAATTCAAATTATTTTAACTCCCCTACCAAGTAAAACTTTTATGCAAATGTTTGAATTCTGCCCCACCTGCTAAAGCTTTTGTTTACAATACTGCATTCTTCTAACTGAAGTGACCTTTGTGGCACACCCATTTCTGTTTTACTTCATTTTCTTTTCCCTGATTCTTTTAAAACTGATGAATCATCACGAAAGACTGTGAGGTTGTACTCCAGCCAGTGGGAAAAAGACAATCAGCACTAGGGTTACAATACAAACCATGGAGGGGAGGCTGGGGGGGATGGGAGTGCGGGAAGAGGGGAGGGAGAGGGAACTGGGATTGACAAGTAAAACAAGCTATTTAAAATTAAAATAATTTTTTAAAAAACGTTCTCTTTGGTTCCTAGAATCTCATTTAAAAAAAAAAAAAAGAAGAATACAAACCATGGAAACTCCCTGTCCCAGACAGAGCGATCCCTGTTTTGTTGTTGTTTGTTTTTTTCTATGAGCAGGGCAGAATGCCCTTCTGATCATCAGTAAACCTTTGCCTGTTGAAACACTTAGATTGGAGGAGTAGAGAACACACAGATACTCTTAAAGTCAGATACCCAGGGAAGGCCTATAGGCCATAACAACCAGTTAACCAATCAACACAGGACAGGTCACCCAACCCCAGAAGCACACCAATCCTGAGACTATAGCATACCCCTAGATACTCCCCTTATGTGCCCCTCACCCTCCACCTCTGCCTCATGGTTCCCCTGGGTCTTTCTCCGTCCCCTGGTGAATACATGAAAGGCCTAAGTTAATGGAGTTAGCTCATTAAACAACAATAGAAGACTCTTTGCTTATGCATTGAAATGGCTCTGTTGGTGATTTGGGAGTTTCAGAATTTGGGCACAACAGACCCAAAATAAAGCACACAAAATTAAGGCAAAGGTGGTAGGCTTTTTAGTTACCTTGTGGACATAAGTGAGAAGTCCATGTGTTTTAGCAGTTTCTGTGTGCCTGTTTCAGTCAGACTGACCTGACACTCTGCCAATGACAGTTCTTGTTTCAGGGTATATAAACATGACCACTCCATGGTGTGGTTGAGGGGGAGGTCTTTATTGTAGGTATGAGAGAGGGAACAGCCAGAGGCATCTGGAGGAGTCCAGAGCAGAGAGAGAGAAAAGTAGATTGAACACAGCCAGCAGACTGGACCTGGCCAGGGCTGTCTTTGAAAAAGGGAAGAATAGTAGGGGACAGAGAATAGAGAAATCATAGTGAGAGAAGCTGGAGCAGAGAAAGAAACTATCAAGAATAGCAGGGTTATAAGGAGAATGAGTAGCTGGGGGAAAAGAAGCTGTGAGCAGGGTGGAGTTCATCGTGGAGAGGGAGATGAGAAGGGCTGGGATGTTTGTGTGGACTTTGAAATGTGTAACAGGTACTTGTGATACACAAGGATCCTGGAGGTCAGATTGATATGCTAATAGCTTTGATATGCTAATCTTCTGCCAGAGGTAAGGGAAATGACTCCTTTTGGTAGGTGGGAACTGCTTAGACAAGTTCCTGGGGCATGCTGGCTTTTTTTATCTAACCACCAGGAAT